ACCTTATCATAGATCCATCCATTTTCTTACAGGTTCTTCCACTTCAGGGTGGCGGGAGAGCCAGAGCCTATCCCAGCAGGCAACGGGAGCAAGGCAGGGAGCACCCAGGACGGGACGCCAGACAGTACATACAAGAACATGGCTAATCACACATGTAACCAGAAAAAATAGAAACAGGTTACAAATAGAAACACGCCCGTCAGAGGGCACAGTTGCAAAATGAGTTCTGAAGATACGACAGTCAGGCTGAAACTGGGGAGTTGGTGTCCTCCTACAGCCGATTGCCCGCGCACACCTGAAGATTTCAGTTCCTCTAACGGATGAGGAAAACAGGATTTTTCTCAGTTCGGAAAAACAATGCCGACACACTCTCACTCAGCAGATCAGGGAAGAGCAGCGCGGAGCTGGGGCCGGCCGCAGTGGTGAAGAAGGCGGACTGGGACGCAGCCGGGAGACCGAGGCGCTGCGGAGGAGCCCGGCCACACGTCAGCAGGGCCAGTCCTGCCCCTCAGCTGGAGCCACACCGGATAGCGGGCCTGTGAGCTGGGGCTGGACCGGCCTGTGGTTCGCAGACCAGCTGCTGACCGGGGCCGGGCCTGCTGCGGGCGCACGGAACCAGAACACCCGAGCGGCACCTGCGGGCTCTCCTGGGACAGCTCCGCGAAACCCCAGCCAGACCCTGGATTTCAGCTCGGCGTCTCGGAAGGGGCTGCCGCCCTTGTTGATGTGAGTTATATCTGTGTAGAGCTTTTCACCCAAAGGGCTTTTTCACACAGAGGAGGGAATTCAACCAGTTCACCAGGGTTCACATCCCTGATCTTCCAGTCATGCCCACTTATCAGGATGACACAGCATCCCCATTGTGGTCCAGTGAGAAGAGTGCCCCCTACTGGTCCACCAATAACCCGCGCTTCAAGCAAGAACCTCAAAAGGCCTCCTGTCCCATTATTTACCAGACCCAGCTCTGCTTGGCTTTGCTGCTTAGGTGCAGGCAGGAAGATGGGAAATACTGCTGCCCCTGGGGTTGCTGAAGAAGGTGTTGCAGTACAAATCGAACACGGTGCTGAAGAAATTCTCAGGCTGCGCACACAGAGCTGGTTGCGGATCCTGCTAATCTAGTCGGTCACGGCCAGGACAGATTAACAGCTGTACTGGAAAAATACCACGACTGTGCAGCATCTCCTTGAAACCAGGGCCTGGAATAACACACCAGGGCAGCTTGCTCTGTCGAGCAGGCTAACCGAATTACGGCGCTATCCGCCAGGCCCTGCAGCAGGAAGCAGAGTGTCAGTCATGTCGGAGGAGAAGCTTTTAGGATGGATGGCAATTATTCCAGGGGCCTGCGGCGGTGACGTCACCAGCTCAGAGCCTCAGAAACAGGCCCAGACAACTCTGCTGCGCGATGGACATCTTCCTGATAAGCCCTGACAGCGCTGTAGCAAACCAAACGGGCTTTACCGCTCATGTCTGCAGGTTGAGCTCGGAAAAACCAGATGTGATGATAATAAACCGTTTCAAATATCCCCTTTAAACAAGGCAGAAAACAAACCTAAAAGAAGACCTCAGACAAGGTGACACGTCTCACCAGTTGTCCTCCCAGGAAATCAAAGGATTTTCCAAGACATGTCCTGTTTCCCACCGGAACGGGAGCAGAGTTTTCTGGTAGCTGCCCCAGTCGAAGGAAGGCACCCTGCTGGCATCCTGAACTGGAGTGAGTGGGAGTGACATTGACCCACCCCAGTGGCTGCCCCCAGAACCCCTCGGAGTACCCTAGGACACCCCCCATAAAATACAGAGCAAAGAAACGCCCATGGACAGGAGCAGCGCGTGTGGACAGGGCCGCTCTCTCCCAGGCAGCGAGTCCGGGTTCAGGAAGCGTGATGAAGTGTGTGCGATCACAGCTACGGAATATCGGGCCGGCGCAGCTCTGCCCACAGACCCGGTCGAACCCGTGCCCTGCAGCGAGCAGGCACCACCCGGCCAGTGTAATCGCTCCGAACAGCCGCCCAGTCCCAACCTCCCCGCGGACCACAGAACCACAGAACCTGCCTGCTCCCAGGCCCCCCCGCGAGACCGAACAACTGCAGCCTGCTGCTGCCTCACAACTTCGCCCACGAGAACAAAAAAGCTTCAATACAATTCCGACGAGATGTAAAAAATGACTATATCAGACTGCACAGCCATTCGGACGTGTCTGACTCTACAGACAGATGCACGTGTCAGCTTGTGGGGGAGAGGGGCACCAGTCCCCCCAGACGCAGGTGCCGGTACCCTGGGCCGGACAGGACCCCTCTCGAACCCCGGGCTTCAGAGGTACAGTATCAGCGCCAGGTGCAGAAGCCCTGCAGGTCCAGGGGTTCTGAGCACTGCTCTGGGAAAAGGGAAGTCTCCCACTGGATATCTCATTTCAATCATCGTCATAACATCTGCACTACAATCATAATAATAATTAATAATTAATATTATTATTATTATTATAATTAGCTAGGGAGATGACCTTATTCAGGGAAACCTACAAAATATACAATCAAGTAAAAAGTATATGTAATAATAAGTACATGCTGCATACAGCTCGGCTCCACCAGCTCTGAAAGACACCCTTCTCCTGCTCGCTCTCGGTAGACCCGCCTGCATTTCTTCCAGGTCCGTTTCCCGTTTTATCTCTGTATATTTTGTTTTTGCTGCCTGTATGCGACACACCACGGGACTTGGTCGACACTAACTGCACATTGTAAACCGGGGAAATTTCGCAGGTCAAATTATTGTTGAGCCTCATGGTGCCGGTGAAATGTTTTGGGCCGTTTCCTTTTAAACGTTTTGAACGCGTTCCCAGTGAAAGACGTTTAACACAGAGCGACCACGGCTCACTCGAAGAGTTTCTGGCGGGTCTCCATTTTCCGTCCAGGCGTCGATTAGAAAAAGCAAATCGGGGTGTTTCCCCAGCTGCGGTCGCCAGTTAACTACTGGGTTGTGAGAAGAGGGTTTCGGAGTCAGACCCACGTCGTCCGTCCGGCTCTAGAAGCGGAGCTGCTTGCTCGCTCGGCACAGGAACCGCAGAGACACCGGTGCTCCGTCAACCCTCCCCGGCACGAAAGTCAACTTCAAACAGTGCGGACGACAGGTGAGAACTGTACAGGTTGACACAACAGTGACCAGAAAACAAAACCGACACGAGAAGGAACCTTGACGCTGTAAATTCAGCGCCCGATCAGCGAGCGACGTCGACGTAAGGCTGGTTAGAAAAACAAACAAACGGAGAGCATCGTAAACGTGACCCATTCAAACGCGATAGCCTGGGTACCTGGGTGGTGGGGACGATTAAAAGCTCTCGCATAAATTGTGATGCGGCACACAAGGGTTTGTAGCTTTACTTGCGTTTTGATAAAAGCACACCCGGCGCCCTGGTGCCCTCAGGCCGGCGGCTGGGGCAGCCTGGTCCGGGCCGCGCAGTTCGGCTGGGCTCGGCTGGGCTCAAAAGCCGAGGGGCCGAGGGCCGAGGGGGACGAGCGCCGCGCGGAGCCTGGAGCACTACAGGCGTCCTCACAAGCGCATCAGCCGCCGCAACGCCTGCCTTCTGTTCAACTCAAGGCCATCGTCTTAATGGACAAGACCGAATCGGAATCGAGCTATCGTATTGAAAAGAAAACGGCATTACCCCCAGCGTATCCGCGGTGCATCGCAGCGCCTTTTGCCTGCACACTTTGATAACGTCCGGATCCCAGGAATACTTTGTCTGGTCAGCGGAAAAGTCGCTCCTCGGTGAACAGGCCCAGGGAAGGTGTTCTGGAGCCTGGCTGAGGTTGAGGCGTGCAAGGCGGGTCCTGTGGCGTGCAATCTCAAAGTTTCACCAGAGCACCGGAGAGGAGCGCCTGTGGCTCAAGACAGCTCGCAACTTACAGGTTTCAAACACAGGAGTGTTAAAAAATAACCCGACGAGTTAAACAGACAGCGCTGACCGGCGGTCTGTTCCACGGTGCCCAACTGACCTTTTACATTTTAATCACTGATTTTTTTTTTTTATTTCTGATAGGACTGCGTTACAAGATACGTTGTATTAGCTCCTTGACCTCCGCGTATCCTCACCCCGTGTAACAGGAACGCTCTTCACGAGAACGATCTCTATAATCAGGCTTTAGCCCCGACAAACACCTTGCTTATCTCTCCAGCGGGTCTGTGGAGCTGAAATTGTCCTTGGACTTGGGAAAAGGGACCGCAGTGTGGAGCAGAGGGGACACCATCCGGGTCATCCCTGCGAACCGGGGTTTGTTCACACCGGACCTGCCTGGTTAAGCAACAGAACTGCCTTCACCCACCCTACACCCTGCAGCCTAGCTCCCCCACTGGCCTCAATTCTCAAACAGAGCTTCAGAGAACGGGTACAGAAAGGAAGCACTTTTATTTAAAAGATGCGATCACGGGTTTCTACAAGCAACAAGGTTATAGTGCCCGCATCGCTCAAACAGGCTTTAAATACAGAGACCTCCTCTGCGGCGGGGGGGTTAACGTGGATGTTTCTCGGGTCTTAAAAGAAAGGTTACCGAGGTCCACATTCGAAGCGGACAAGCTGAGCCTCCTCAGGCACTACAGGGGCAGGTTACCCCACGAGCTTGCGCAGTCTTCAAGGTCATGACTGGGGAAACTCCCCTGAGGGCTGAGCCGAGACGCTCCGCCAGTACTGGTCTGTCACTGCAATCCCCAACACGTACAGGTGTCATAAAAGGAAGGAATACACCAAACTTAAAACTTGTTAAATGCAATATAATTTACAAGATCTTCAATCTTAAGGCATGAATAATTTACATTGGATGTACATTTGTAACAGGCCAATAAAATCCACTAACAGCAAACTTGAAAAGGGGGCTTCTCCCATATACCAGTGAGCCTAAAGCCGCGCATCGTTAAAATGGAGGAGCGATTGCTTTTTCGACATTTAAGAGTCATTCTACGACACGTCTGTCCCAAGAAATTAACACGCGAATAAGAAAAAAAATTGTAAGAACTCACAAAATAAAATTCCGGTTTATTGTTGGACAACAAACTGTTCACACATACATCAAACAGGCCACAATAAACAGCAATTTTGTAGACAAAAAAATCCTTTTCTTTGGCCTTGCCATCTCATACAAACCAACTACTTATGGTACAACTAAAGTACATACACAAAGTTACTGGAATGCTCGGAATATTTTTTTTAAGTTTTTGATTTTTTACAAGTTTTTTCTGTTGAGATAACATGACATGGTCAAACCACAAGTAAAGTCTATTTTATAGTGAAGCATCAACTTCAAAGCACCGTCTGGTCATCAGAGATCACGGTCAAAAAATGGCTGACCTCCTAACAATATGTACAAAAATATAAAATGTAAATAAAAATACAAACAAATTCTCCTTTTAAAGTATTTAAGAAGATAGAGCCTTGAAGTCTTGGTAGGTTTTTAAAAAATTTGCAGTTGGTGTGTTTTCACGGATGTTGTACTCTACTTGATGATGACCACATTTTCTTCTTTCCAACAGACAATCTGAGAGGAAGGAGGGGAGGAAGAGGAGGATGTCGGGGATGGGGACAGGGGGAATCAGCAGGGGGCGACGGGAAGTCCTAATCGTCCTCGTCGGTTTTCTGCTTCTTTGTTTCAACATCGTCCTAGAAGGAACGAGAAAGGGGCAGGGTTAGGGGCAGCAGCCAGGCAGCCTCGGGTTCGAGCTGCAGACCTCCCTCGTGGCGCAAGGCCCCCCCAAAAAAAAAGAGGCCCCGTACCTCGTCGTCGTCCTCCGCTGCCCTCTTGCCAGCGCCGCCCTCGGCCTCTTCGTCATCCTCGTCGTCCTCGCCTGCAAGGAGTCGGTGAGACTTCAGTGAGCGGGGCCCCCCGCCGCCACAGCACGCCAGCGCGGGCGTCACCAGGGCGAGGGGCGCCCCGGGAGCATGGCGCCGTCACGTGCGAGGCAGGTTCCCATGTCGGGGTCGCCCCGAGCTGCGTGCAGGGGAGGGGG